GCTTACACTTTAATTAATTAAACATGATTTTGTATTCTGTATTTTTGTAATAATTTTGAAATTTACATCTTAGGTTCTACTCACCTAATCCCAAATAATATGTTGTGGAATAACCTTGAAAAGTGATATTAGTTGTGTGAAAGCCTTGAAAAAGTCTTGAATTTGTAGCTTAATTTTTTTGTGTAAACAATGTATTTTATGTATCTTTTAAAGGAAGGGGAAAGATTTATGTAACAATGCAAATACAAAAAAAATCTAGTAACACAAAATTCTTTACATACATTAAATAGTTGACATTGGCTTGGTGATGATGTATTATGAATCTATTAGCTGACCTCTAAAGCTCTCTCTAACCCTTTCTTCATACATAATGTGTAGTTAGGCCTACTGAGCTTGTGTTTTTTCTAATTGTCTAAATTGAGGTAAAATAACAGCAAATGATGCAACATTAGAAACTTTACAACTTATATTTATTCAAGACATTTAGAAAGGTATAGTAAAAGAAAGCAATGAAAAGTTATACAACCACATCTTTATAAATGTATGCAAGTATTAAAAAACTGAAACAAATGTACAGTTACACAAAGTTGTGTACAGAAAGTATAAATGAATACAAATCTATATACATGTAATGCACATAATTAGAGGTATTGTACATATAAGTGTATAAATAAAATAAAAATACAAAAATGTGTAAGTTATACAAACTCTGATATAGAGAATTTATATAAATGTTGGAGAATGAAGAACTTTCAGAAAATATACATGAAGCTCTGCACATAAAAATTATGAAATGAAAGAGAGTATCATACATACATACATACATACTTTACACAAATATTTCAAGCAAAAACATTATATTCTAAAAAGGAAACATTGCTGTACATTTAAGTACAATAAAAAGTTATAAGATGCCACTGTCTAAGATATTTGTTAGTTTTTAGAGAAAAAGAAATATTTATATGAGGAAAAGCAAGAACTGTATTTGTAAAAGGAAAAGAGCAGACACTTTTACCTAGCACATAAACAACACTTTAGTGAAACTTTCATAAACAGATTTATTTTTATTCTATGTTGTTATAACATACAAAATAAATCAGCTATGATAATTTCAGCAGCATTGATTATGTACTAAGTAAAACCCTAACTTCTTTGAAGAGTATCACAGGTATGATACTCTGCAAAGTGTTTCATACAAAGATACACATCACAGTTTGTACATTGTGGGAGTATCCTGTTGTCTGTAAAGCACAGTCTGTATCTTTTCGTTTTACTTTGTTTGACAAGTATTGGATAATGCCTGTGAAGACTGAGCCAAAAGCCAAAAAAAAACAGTTTTTGTACCATTTTACTGACCTTCATCCAGTTGAATAGTAGCTGACAAATCGGTCATTGAGGTCTACTCCTCCCATAATGTAGTCTATAATGGTTAGGGTCAGTCCTAGGGAGAGTGTTAGTGTTGTTATTGAAATATAAATAGTTATGGATAGTTAAAAGCCTGTCCCTAGAAAATATGTTAGTAAACCAAAGATTGTGAAATGGAAGATAGGTAGACCAATAGTCAGAAGTAGAAGGATAAGGCTAGACAGTAAAATATGTCCACATTAAAGTTTTTTCTTTTGAGGTGTTCATTCTGGTGTACTTCTTTTTCATGTGCATATCTGTTAATTTCACCAACAATTAGGTGCAGAGCTTCCACTGTAAATAGAACTTTGAAAAAGTCGATTAGTTTATTCAAAGAGGTGACCTGTTGGGAGAAAGGTTCACCTCTGTTGAATGGAGGTATCTGGTGGTGTTCTTCTCTGGTGATCTCCACCCATGTTCAACTGTCATTGCATGCAAGAGGCCTCTCCTGTGGGGAAGGATTAGTCCTAGCACTCACTGGAGCTCTACCCTTCCTCTACTCTTCTTAGCTCTGCCTCTTCCCTGTGGTGGTGGTAATGTTTGTGTTGATGTACCTGGCCACAGCGAGTCCAGAACATCCTCATCCAAATGAGTTTCACTAGGTACATCTTGATCTGTCCAAAAGACAGAGTCAAGAAGAGCTGGTTCTACATTTTGTGGTTATCTGGACTAGTAGGCAGATTCTGTCAGAGGGATTGAAAATGAAGCATCGAGTACTTCAACATCTGATTCCTCTGACTGAATAGCTTCTTCTTCTGATGAGGAAGAAAGATCTAAAAGGAACTGAATCTTTTTCTTCTTCATCTCCTCAACTTTTCACTTCACTTCTTGTTTATTCATTATAAAAAGGAGAAAAAAACATTACATATAAATTGTATATTCTCTGTTGTGTATATTTGCAGGAAAGTTAGACTATAATGAACTGAAGGTGCAACATAATGTTAACTACAAAGAAAATTTCCTATTTTACTTACATAATCAGTTGGAAATCTGATAGAAAGAATACTTTCCTGATTTTACATATCTCTGATCTGATCTTCAACTACTTGAAGTTCAGTTTTTTCACATTCCAGCAAACTTCTGTTGGTCCATTCAATTAAATACGAGCCTAAGTTAGTCTTCTTACGTCTAATTGTACTGTTCCTGATCTTTTATTTGATTCATCCTAGAAGTGCAGCTGTCTCTATTAATCTTTGATTGTGAACTTAGTTTTTCTTTTTTAGTTTAAGAAATTTAGTCAAGTGATATATGTTCTGATGTCATTAAGTTCATAAACAGTACTGTGAATTCCTCTAATTCTTGAGACTTAATGGTGACTGTTTTGTTCTAAAACTGTTTTATTTTGCTAGTTGCATCTTCAGTAGAAGCCAGATAATTAATTTTGTTCCTGAATATGCTGTAGAAATTTCATATTATCTCAATTTAAGATTAGTTGAATCTATATATGACAGTTATAAAAAATATTTAAATTGATTACTTTTATAAAATAACAGGTACATACAGTAACATTGTTTCTCCTGTTTGTTCATCATCAGTTTTCTTGATATGATTGTGAATGTAGATTTGTATCTAATGAAAGTATATCTTACAATTCCAATATGTTGTCTCCGGAACACCAAGCAAATGACTAAGGTTATCACTGTCTAACATTCATTTCTATCACTGAAGTTTTTTTCTTGCAGGAAAGCAGACTTACTGGCCTTGTCTGTAGACACAACTCAAGTGCACCACTTGTCTGAAAAATTACAGGTATTGTTCTCTTCTGCAGCATATTTTGTGTCTTTCAATTTGTATGTTCATTATTTATGGTATATTGTAATACAGGGTATACAGAAGTTATATTAACAAAATTGTTTACTTGTATTTCAGATATAGAATTCTTAAACTTCACTTCTGAGATACTTTACAATTAAAAGTATAATATCCTCAAGAATGTTTAAATAAAGGCTGCAGATAGTTTTTTCTAAGAGGTTTTAGGCTGCTGAAACAATTTCTATTTTCTGACAAGCTGTATCTATAAAGCTTAATGTTTAAAAAAAAAAGAAAATGGCTGCCAGAAAACAAGACAAGAGCCAATTTTACATACTACTGTTATGGTCAAACTTTTCATGTAATGTTTCTTCATGATTATAAGATGCTCATTCCAAATTTCATGTCTGTTAATTATGAGAGCAAAGTTTGATCTTCAAACTGCATCCAAACAAATATCTTCCAAAAAGTTTTGACCTTCAAACTCCACCCAAACAAAATATCTTCCAAAATAGAGGAGCAGCATTGTTCCTAGCCAATGACACTATGTAATTTGTTGACAACTATACAGTTTCATCTAGAAACTTTTATTTTTCAAGCTGAATGTACTAAAATGCCAATAATACTGCAAAACTGTACTGTTATTTATGAAGATTTATTCTTTTATAGATTAATGTTCAGGTGTGATTTCAAGTAATTTTTTCTTGGCACCTTCTCTTCTACATCATGTTTACCTAATTCTAGTTATACCATAAAGAAAATTACTTATGCAAATAAATTTTAAGACTATGTATAATAATATATATATTTAACTTTGGTATAAAGCTTTGACCAATAGCAGAGTTACTGTGATGTACATTAACCCTCTTGCCACAGGCAGGTACCAGTGCACGTCACACCATTTTTTTGAAAGTTACATTCAAAATTCAATTAAACTACCTTATCATCATGGCTTAGAATAAACTTGGTATCAAAATATAGTTAATAAATCTGATTTTAATATTATATATGTTTTAAGTTTTTACTTTTATAAAGAAATATTTTAAATAAATCTTCAATCTCTCCTAGTATGAGAATTGTGACATTTAGTTTCTGGGTCTTCACTCTTCTCTAGGAGACAAAACAGTGAAATAATTTAAGACTTTTAACTTGTGTTAAATCTTGACTTTTGTTTTCAAGCAACATCAAGTACACAGTTCCATAACCATTGCAAGTGTCACTAGTGGTTCTGCATTTACAAGCTGCTGTACACAATAGACAAGACTTCTGACACTTGTAACATGTGCTCATCATTTTGTGTTATATTTATGAGTTATCAATTCCATAGAAGAGCGGGATGAGAGGGAGAGATATGAAGATGGTCACAGGTAAGGTTTCTTCCAGTCTCCATCCCATAGTCTCAAGAGGTAGCAGCTCTGGGAATTGCATATGTGCCTATCACCACACTACTGTCTGATAATATGCTCATTTGATGCAGAAGGACAAAGCATCACTTGTTGGTAAGTCTCAGGCTGAGGAGATTTCACCAGCATGATTTAATGTGCCTTGTTCAAATTGGTGGTATTTAGTACCTTGTAAACTTTGATGAACTGTTCTACATCCTTAGCAGTTTGGTCATCTAGATCACCATCATCTAGGCATTTCAAAAGACAATAGTACTGCTGTAAAACTTTCCAGCATGGTTTTTTCCAGTGCTCAGACAAGTAGGAGTTGGTGTCACTACCAGTCAGATGATAAATGCAGGCATTATTTCCAGCACAGATTGTTCAAATGTTAGTTGCTCCACAATGCTGTGAATTGAGATATATTTCTTATTCTTGGCTGTCCCACCATTGAGCCATAGTTTGGAACATGATATTTTGTGAAAATGAGTCAAAAGCATCTCCAGGAAATCAGGATCATATGCAGATACCAAAATGCTTGTTGCCTTTCTACAAAACTTGGTACTTATTTGCATTAGTAATTTTTCATTAAGAAAGAACTTTAGTCAGATAAAAGTCATAAAAGAAAAAATTACTTATAACCATGTTTGAACAGTAATCTATAAAAGAATAAATGTCCTTGCATAACAGTACTGTTTTGCAGCATTATTGATATTGTAGTTGATTTAGCTTGAAAAAATAAAAATTTCTAGATTAAGCTGTATAACTTCATCTTTATTAAGGCTTAATCATCAAAACTATAACATAGTAGCTCTCAAAAAATTACTTACCATTATTGTCATGGCATAATGATGCTGCTGTTCCTTTTTTTGTGGCTATTTTATTTGGGTGCAGTTTGAAGGTCAAACTTTGCCCTAAGATTTAATAGACACGAAATTTGGATTCAGCACCACAAAATTATAACAGTTTTTCAAAGTTTTACCATAACATTAGTAGGCAGCATTGATTCTTATTCCATTTTATTGATGCCATTTTGTACTGTTGTACTGTGTTTTAAAGTAATTGAAATAGCCTTTTTAAAGCTTTTGATGTTACTGTGAATACCAAAAGTGGAACATTCATTTCTATATACCTTTGGCAGCTTTTAAGATATTATTTTAAAACAAGTGGACTGTGTGGTATTTGTTTGTTGTTGAAATTTATCACCAACAAATTACAGACACCAACTGTAAAAAGTCCAGCCCATACAACAAACATCTGACAGAGAAGAGGGATACCTAGAGAGCAAATGTCACAATTCTGATACTAGGGAAAATTGAGAATTTGTTTTTGACATTACCTTATAAAATTAAAAACTTTAAATTTATATTAAAATTTGTATTTTTAGCTACATTTTTATGCCAAGTTTTTTCTTACACTTTGGTAAGAAAATAGTTTAAATTTGGATTTAACTCAGTAAAACCTTATGACATATGCAGAAAGGTATGTCCATAGAGAGAGAGAGTTATTTAAAAAAACAATCTGTTTTTTGTGTACAAAATACTTGTAATGTTTACTAAAATCCTATCAAATTTCTTGAAGAAACATTATGTACTTTAAGAGTTATAGTATCTATACCTTATACCTTCATAGTTTCATGGTGGTTATAGTTCACGTGAAATACACGAGTGTGTTGCAATAGAGTTAATATAATCTACTCAACCTCTTTAGTCTTCTTTAGTGTAGTTTCAGGCTCCTTATGAATTAAATATCAGAACTCAACCATATAGTTGTTGATATTTTAGCCAGAATCCATTTACTATTATTTACCATATTTCCAATTGACCAATATAAATTATATCTATATTTTGGTTGCATATTGGGAATTGTTACCTCAAATAGCAACTTCAGAAGTTTCTTAAGAGACAATTATTACAGCAAGTGGCTACCCCCTATGTACTTCACTGAGTAAAGTAAAAACTATTTATTTAAATGCTTGCAATAAATGATATTGACAATATTAATTTGTGACATTATCAGTCTTTGATGAGTACTCTGTTATTTTTATACAATGTGAAAGAAGGCATATATATTAATTTTGTCTTTGGGTTTGTAAGATTTGTTATTATTCTAAAAAAAGGAGCATTAATTCTTTTGAATACTTCATAGATTTTTCAAGAAGAACTGAAGCTGTGGAAAGCTAAACATTTTGAATATGAACAGGAAGAGAAACAACTTAATGTCAAACAGGAAGAACTTCGTCGAAAAAAGGTACACAAGACTTGCAATTTAGGGTACTCAGTGTTAAGGCAGAACAGTCAATGATCCCCTAGATTGGGATTGCTAACTATCATGACACTTTTTTATCCTATTAATAGCAGCAGGAAACAGGTCATTATTTTTTGTTGCAAATCTTAATTTAAGACATGTATACCATCTGCCCAGACTCTCTTAAATTGCTGGGCCCCTAAGCAGTTGCTTCCTTCCACCAATACAGGTAAGCCTGTAAGTATTGTGCATTGATTGTTCAATGACAGTATACATTATGCAGCTAGTAATACTTGTTTCCAACTTGTTTAAGTTATTAATTCTACAAGGCAATATTTTAAAAAATCCTGAATTTCCACTAGTGTGACCCATGTGACACATTTTCTCTTAGCATATCTTCATCTCTATTTTATCCACCACCCCCTCGAAAAAGTATGAAATTAAACATAAAATACTCTGTATAAAATTGTTATTGCTCAAACAAACCATAATTTTAATAGCCTTCAATTTTGTTTGGTTATAGAGCTATCGAATGGAAAATCGGATCCCTCCTGCCGCACTCACCTATCACATCCTCTCTTTCACAATTCATTGATAGTTCTGTCTTATGTTTCATTATATATTACTTATAACCAATAGAAAGTCAAGGTTTTCATCTATCAAATGAAGTATTGTATAATGTATTCTAAACAGAATATCATCAATTTCACTCACAGTACAAGATTCATTCTCATGGGAAAGATAATGACTAGCTTGAATGTATTTGTAACAGCTCTTTTTGCATAGTTAGAAACCCAGAAAAATTTTGAGAAGTAAGTGAATTTGTCTACTTTTTGCAAGTTATTGGTCTATATTCTTTGGGGCATTATTTAATTAAGTAAAAATTGTTAAGTGCATTACTATAATTACTATAAAAAATCAGGCTTAACTGTCCTTGATAATCAAGGGCAAGAAAAAAGAAGATTAGTTAAGTACTTTATTTTTTGTTTTTCATATTTCTTTAATTGTTATTATAAAAGTAACTAAAAATCTAAAAATATGGATCTTTTTAAGTTATTTAAGACTAGATTAGGTAAAATAAATAATAATATAATTAAAATGGTTCACAAAGAGCAATAAAAAATTAAATTATAAATAGATATATACTGTTATGAACTTAGAGCTACTTAGGATAAACGAATGTAGTTTCATGTTACAATTTGAAGTCATTGTAGAAAAAAAAGGGTACTTTAGGTTTATTTAGATTTTTTGTTTGTGGTTACGAGGTCAATTGAATTGACCAATCCCATTTTAAGATAGAGTAGAGAAAATAACAGATAAACTATAAAGTTTTACTGAACAAAAACGTTTGAAATGCATTTAGGAGGTTTTAGGGATTACACGAAGGAAATGTGAGATGTTTGAGATGTAGAAAAGTATTTTTTTAGCTTTAACATGAAAATTACTTTGCACACGGACTATTCAAAACAAATATGATTTTTTGTATGTGAAAGACTTATAATATGAACTAAAAGACTGCCAAATTTTGTGAAGATATACACATTATATTAAAAGTGAGAAGTATTAAATCTGTAAAGACTTTAAATGAGTACAAAGAGTTCACATGGTCGCTCAGATTGATAGAGCCCGTGTTGAGAGAGTTAAAGAAACTAAAATGTGGAAAATGTAGGCTGCAGGCTATGTTTTTGATATTTTGATTTAGCGGTTTTGTGTGTTAGAGGGAGATTTAGCATGATGTTATGATATGTTACATCTAGACATGATGAACAGTAGCGTAACAATATTAAACAACCAGAAGATTGTTGGATAGTTAGGTAATCAGTGAGACAGTCAGTAAATCTGTGTTATCAGTTGATTACTTAGTTAGTTAGTTAAAAATAATGAAGGCGGTAGTGAGAGAAAGTGTTTTGTTACCAAAAATTTCATATTGGTTGATGAATATTACATTAGCTGTAGACTTAGAGTGTAAAGAATTGTCTGAGGATCAGCATACACATACCAACAGGGAATTAGTATGTTAACACATCAGCTTTATCAGAAAATGCAAATTTGATATTTTTTCAGAGCCAATGTGAAAGATAAACTGAGACCTTGAAATATATTTAGAAACACTTTGGATTTATTAATGAAAACATATGCTGTTGAAAAGCAAATTTGTTATACTTTAATATAAGAAATTAATAATGCAATGTGCTTTTTATGATTTGTGTAATATCAAGATATACAAAAATAAAACTGTAACTTCACTCTTTGAAAAGTAGAGTCAGGCACTGTCTTAAGAGAATGCCAACTTTTGTTACATTTTCGTTATTTGAATGTGTTTTTTGTCATTAAACTGTTACTAACTGATCGGAGAAATATTTAAGTGTATGGTTCCCATAAGTTGAATTGCCATTTTGCTTGTTTAACGTTTGTTTTTAGTATATTCATGAAGTGATCTTCATTTATTTGCAGATCTAGTTTTTATGAAGGCTTTCTTAACTTGAACTTTAATCACAGTTTATTACAGTAGCATTGTTATTTATTCTAACACCATCATCCAATACAAGTTTGTTTTGGTCAACTAGATGGTTACTTGACATACTCTTTTATGATAAATAACAGTCATATTACCAAGACAAATGTAAAGGAGAGAGAATTTCATTTTCAAAACTCTGAACATTTTGGAATGCAGTAACACAGATTTCTTCAATCACATACAATTTTTAATATGTACATGCTTGAATTTTTTTTTTTTTAATAATTTGAATTATTAAATTGTAATTTTTCTCTTTGATAGAAATATATTAATTTCCTCTTCAAATTCTTAAGTGGTTAGTTAAATCTTTGAAAAGTTATATAAGACAGTTGTTTATCACTTAATACCTTGCAGTTCTTTTTTTATAACCAAAAACAGCTATTATTTGAAGATATAGTTTTATATTTTTGTATGTTTCAAAGTAATTTATCTTAATTATTGAAATTATTATTCAATAAAAAACATAGGATTTTGCTTTATTACTATTTTTATAATATATATATATATATATTAT